CTCTCCATTTAATAACTCTCCTCTCCTATTTTTAACTGACAAATCCATTTGTTCTCTAGGCTTTCTCAACTTGTTAATCTCACTCCAAAACTTTTTCTTATTTTCAACAAAATTTGTTGATAACATCTCACCCACTCTCTCATTTGCTCTCTTTTTACATTGCTTCACCACTCTCTTAACCTCTCTCTTTTTCTCCATATACTCTTCCCTCCTTGCATCACTTCTACTTTGTAAAAACTTCTCATATGCTAACTTTTTTCTCCCTTACTACTCTCTTCACATCATCATTCCACCAATCGCTCCTCTTCCCTCCCGCACCCACTTTCCTGTAACCACAAACTTCTGCTGAACACTCTAACACTACATTTTTAAACCTACCCCATACCTCTTCGACCCCATTGCCTATGCTCTCATTAGCCCATCTATCCTCCAATAGCTGTTTATATCTTACCCTAACTGCCTCCTCTTTTAGTTTATAAACCTTCACCTCTCTCTTCCCTGATGCTTCTATTCTCCTTGTATCCCATCTACCTTTTACTCTCAGTGTAGCTACAACTAGAAAGTGATCTGATATATCTGTGGCCCCTCTATAAACATGTACATCCTGAAGTCTACTCAACAGTCTTTTATCTACCAATACATAATCCAACAAACTGCTGTCATTTCGCCCTACGTCATATCTTGTATACTTATTTATCCTCTTTTTCTTAAAATATGTATTACCTATAACTAAACCCCTTTCTATACAAAGTTCAATCAAAGGGCTCCCATTATCATTTACACCTGGTACCCCAAACTTACCTACCATACCCTCTCTAAAAGTTTCTTCTACTTTAGCATTCAGGTCCCCTACCACAATTACTCTCTCACTTGGTTCAAAGGCTCCTATACATTCACTTAACATCTCCCAAAATCTCTCTCTCTCTCCTCTGCATTCCTCTCTAGTTCTTGTTCTTGTTTATTTCCTCTTATCTCCATGGGGAAGTGGAACAGAATTCTTCCTCCGTAGGCCATGCGTGTTGTAAGAGGCGACTAAAATGCCGGGAGCAAGGGGCTAGTAACCCTTTCTCCTGTATAAATTACTAAATTTAAAAAAGAGAAACTTTTGTTTTTCTTTTTGGGCCACCCTGCCTCGGTAGGATACAGCCGCTTTGTTGAAAGAAAGAAGAAGAATTTTTACAATCTTTTTTGTCCCCCTTCCCTTTATATAAAGGAACTAAACACACTTTGCCAGTCCAATCCCAAGGTACCTTCCCCTCTTTCATACATTTATTAAACAAAAATACCAACCACTCCAACACTATATCAACCCCTACTTTTAACATTTCTGTCATGATCCCATCAGATCCATCTGCTTTACCCCCTTTCATTCAGTGTAATGCCTCACACACCTCCCCCACACTCACATCCTGTTCTTCTTCACTCCTATAAGATATTATATTTCCCTGGCCAGTGTGTGAAATTACTGCCTCCCTTTCTTCATCATTTAAAATTTCCTCAAAATATTCTCACCATCTACCCAAAATGTACCTCGAGCTCCATGGCTTACGGAAGAAAAATTCTCCTTCACTTTCCTATGGAAATGAAAAGAAACACTGTAAAAGATTAGAAAAACTCAGATGGGTGTGTATACACATAAATGAATATAAATAACTGCACGTGTAGTATGAACTAGATGTAAGTAGAAGTAGCAAGATGTACCTTTCATCTTGTGTGTTTATGGACAGTAAGAAAAAACACCAGCACTCCTGCTAGTGTAAAACTGTTGCAACCCCTGAATGGGTTGCAATGATTATTATGTATATATATAATTATTACCTTTTCATTTAATTTTATATTGCTTATATTTGCGATAATAGCTAAATCGTAAATGTATTGCTTTATATTGTTATTTGACGTAGCTTCCTTTGTTAGGTAGGATGTAACATATTATGTGCTCAGTTCAAGTCTTGATTGTCTAACTACTGTAATTATCGCTCTTTGCTTGTTTCCCTGCCGGCTTCTTGTTGGGCAGCGACAGCAACCCACGAAGCTATCACGTGATCGAAGGGGGGGGGGGTGTCCTCACCTCGCTTGAAGTATTCAGTCTGCTCTAGACTCTCTTGGAGGTTGGACAGATTGTCTGTCTCATTATTCTTGTTAGTTCTGTAGAACTCTGTTCACAGAACCTTGTATAGACTTAGTGATTTTCGACGTTCTACTGAGGTTGTCTCATAGACACTCTGAGCAACTCAGGTCCTGAACTATAGCTTATGACCTAATTTGTACTGGTATCTGTGTATTATCACAGTTGGGGATTTTCTTATGCTGAACTTAGATTCAGTAGTATGGGAGTTTGGTGACTTGTGGAGGATCTACTGATGGTCCCTAATTAGTGTCGTTATATCATCTCCTTGTTCCTGATTCTGTGTCGCAGTTGCTTGTTATATTGCTATTGGGTTTAGCATTCTTTTTGTTGTTCAAGCTGACTGTTCTGATTGCCAGTTTGTCAAGAAGTTAGTTTATTTGAGGACTTTGTCAGTCACTTGTTTAAGTCTAGTCGAGTCGTGAGACATAGCGAACTACAGGTCTCCCTCAACGTTCACGTTTTCAACTTTCACGGGCTTCACACATTCGCGAATTCCCGACTGCCAAATTCCCAGCCACCAAATCATATTTAAGTTTCCCACCACCTGCGAGTCCCTACTACCCTCCCTCTGACCCCCCACAACTGGCAGCCAGCCCTCCCACCACTCAGTGTGGTGAGTGTTTTGTTTGTTCATTATTTGCTATTAAACTACAGTATAAATAATGTAAACCCATTCATGACTGCATATTGGAATGGCTATTCGGACAGGTATTAGACGGTGACATCATGTGTTTACTCTTGAACACTGCAAAGAATTGCACATTTCTGCTACAGCTAATAATAACAATAGTAATAATAATAATAATAATAATAATAATAATAATAATAAATATGATATAATTGAAGAAGGAAATTGTACAAAAATACGAGGGAGTGGTTGACACATCGTCAGTGCGACTTTGTTTATGCTGGAGTGAACATTAGTCTCCCTGCTCTTCCAAACATTTCACAATAATTCATTGTGTTTGGTGCTTGTAGATTGAGTGTGACTGGAGTGGTAGAGGCAGTGATTGAGGCAATGGTATTTAATAACATACATGTTAATAATAATACATGTTATTAATAATATGTACTATTATTTATAACAGATGTTATTAAATACATACATGTTAATAATAATACATGTTATTAATAATAACATGTACTATTATTATATATAACATATATGTTACCCTGCCTCGGTGGGAAACGGCCGACTTGTTGAAAAAAAAAAAAAAAAAATATGTTATTAAATACCACTGCCTCAATCGCTGAGTTATTGTGAAATGTTTGGAAGAGCACGGAGACTAATGTTCACTCCAGCATAAACAAAGTCACACTGACGATGTGTCAACCACTCCCTCGTATTTTTGTACAATTTCCTTCTTCAATTATATCGTATTTATTATTATTATTATTATTATTATTATTATTACTACTGTTATTATTAGCAATAGCAGAAATGTTCGATTCTTTGCAGTGTTCAAGAGTAAACACATGATGTCACCGTCTAATACCTGTCCGAATAGCCATTCCAATATGCAGTCATGGATGGGTTTACATTATTTATACTGTAGTTTAATAGCAAATAATGAACAAACAAAACATTCACCACACAGTGGTGGGAGGGCTGGCTGCCAGTTGTGGGGGTCGGAGGGAGGGTAGTAGGGACTCACATTGGTGGAGGCAGTGGTGGAGTCAAGATAAGATAAGATTTCGTTTGGATTTTTAACCCCGGAGGGTTAGCCACCCAGGATAACCCAAGAAAGTCAGTGCGTCATCGAGGACTGTCTAACTTATTTCCATTGGGGTCCTTAATCTTGTCCCCCAGGATGCGACCCACACCAGTCGACTAACATACAAGTTATTAACACACGTTATTAAATAACATACGTTATTAAAGCATAACATGTATATATTTAGTACAATTTACAACGTTTTCATGTATTTTATGATTATTCATGGTTCAACAAGTTAAGGAAGCAGTATTGTAATATATTTCCCTACAATATATTGGGGCACCAAACATTCACGGTTCTTCAACATTCGCGAGGCCCTTGATCCCCTAACCCTCGCGAATGTTGAGGGAGACCTGTACTTAGAGCACTTACACACATACACACAAACTTACTTGTACATATTTGTAATATCTTATTAAATGTTAATGTACCAGACGGTACTTAAGAATTATAAATGTGATATGTGCTTTCAGCACAATAATATTGTACTCGAGAGATGTGATATTATTTTGATTACTGTGATTAATTTAATTTAATTTAATTTGATAATATACCTCTAGACTTAATAAATTTATTAAATTTTAATTTCTCTAGTTAGTAGCCTACCAGTTGTAATCCTGAAGCACTATTGAATCATACTGAATTCTAATGGATAATTGGACAAGGATACTGACTACTTGTTACAAAAACCCAGTAACAGGCTGGATGCTAGAAGGGCAGTCCTTTCTAGTATTCACTGGAGATTTCTAAGCTTTTAGAATCACGTTTTTTGTAACCAAAACAATTACAGGTTTCCATTTCAAACTCATTTGGCAGGATGGTTGTGCCTCCCTGGGTGGTTGCTGTCTACCAGATTATTCACAAATTATTACTTTATATTTATGGGAAAAGTACTAACCCAAATACAACACAGACTTGCCAATCCACCACTACCTTTTTTTTTTTTTTTTTTTTTTTTTTGTATTCTGTCATCACTCTTAACTTTTTTTAAAGCCATGTATTTCTCATGTGCAACTTTCCAGTTACAGTACTGGCTTGACCTTGTCATTCTACTGTTCAAGCACATGACATTACCAATAGGTTAAACTCCTCAAAGATTCCCTTTAAGTACGGGGTCAACATGGTCAGCTGAGTAGAAGGATCCTAACTGAACATTCATAAGCCAAGTTTTTATTTTAGATTAGGAATACATAACTACAGTAATAAAAAATTCAAGGATTACATGTAGTTTTGGTAAACATAGAACCTGCCACAAAAAGATACAGTATTTAATTTCTATCCTCTGTACTTACAAAAACTTCTGCATGACAAATTTCCTATATACAGACTTCTGAAAGATCTACCATACTTAAGTTTTATCAGACCTATTTCATAAAGTGGGTGTTTGAATTATACAAGCATAGGACAGTGTAAATAATTTAAAAAATCTCAATTCATGGAATTGTCAAGCAAATTGCACATTTGTTTACATTCTACCACACCTCTCCACTTTATGAGGGCCAATGAATAAATATTTACGTATGATATACTGTACATAAAATACTGCACATTTACCCAGCTGAATCTGATATTAAAACTCAGTTGAGCCATATAAACATTAGCAATCATTTATACAGTGTAAGAGCAATAAAGGCATGGAATGAGCTTAGAAACAATAGAGTAAAAGCCAACTCAATACACAGATTCAAAAAAAAAACATGATGGAGGTAGATCTTGTTAATGACAGCTCAGAAGCAGCCATTGGAGATGTGCTTCATTCATCCTGAACTCTCAAATGTCAAACAAAATTATCTTCATCTACTTTGCCTATGCCTCCAAGTACTTTTGACTTTGTGACCTTCTATGTTCTGCCAATCATGAGGCTAAGTTCATTCAGTCTTTCCAAAAAACTTTTTCCTGTGCCTTTATCACTCTTGCTAAACTTCAAAACATTTGATTTTTATAAGTTCCCGAAGGTACACATTTCTGCCGAATGTATGCCACTGATGTTATCCCACTTTTGTACCCCAGAGATAAATCAGGTAAGACAGCTACAATTTTTTTTTTAATGAACTGGCCATTCCCACTGAGGCAGGGTGACCTAAAAAGAAAAATGAAAGTTCTTCTTTTTAAATTTAGTAATTAATATAAGAGAAGGGGTTACTAACCCCTTGCTCCTGGCATTTTAGTAGCCACTTACAACACACATGGCACAGCTACAAGTATTGTTAACAAATTATAGGAGAGTTGTGAATGGTCAAGCCCAGCTCCTGGTACTGCATCTTAGAGTAGCTGATGCAGTTTATCTTGTTACATGTCTAGTTTATCTTGTTTTGAACTTCTGTGGAGTATGGAGTCAGCCTCTGCTATGTCACTTCTTATCTCATTTACATGTTAGGGTGTCAATAAGGGATCTAGTATGATGGTGACATGCTCTAATGAACAGACCAACATAATTTATATTCATATTGCCTGCCTGAATTTTCTCTCATTTCTATTACATTGCATTTCTCTTCATTAAATGCCATCGTCTGCTTATTACTTCATATGTAAGTGTGCACGTGTAATTACCTGTCGAGATTGCAGGGAGGGGAGGATACAGAGGGTTGAGCTCTATGTTTTTAGTGTTTGCTATATTTTTTAAAAGTTATTAGTGGTTGTAGCAATTACTACCTCCTGAATCCTATTTTAATATTCTACCATACTATTGGTTAAGAATTCTTTTCTAGTAGTATCATTTCAGCACCAATAATTTTTTGTGTATGCAATTATGGCCTCGTGATCTCACTAATGGTGCTAAGAAATCTCTCTCCATTTATATCCTTTAAGTATTTTGCAATTATGTCTCTTCTTGTCCTCCGTTCACAAACATGGGCATTTACATTGTTGTCAATCTTTCTTTGTAACTCATATTTCCTAGATCTGGTAGTCATTTTATATATTATGTTAAAAATTTTGAAATAAAAAAACATGTAAATAATGAGCATGAATTATTGATTACTGGTATCTGATACACATTTTCAATCTCTTGTTTCCAAAAGAAGAATACGATGAGCTGAGGCAGCTAGAGACTGAACATCAGGTTGAGCATCTCTGCGAGCCTCCTCAACACCAGACAACAGATCCATACGAAGTCGCACCACCAAAGTTTCACATACTGCAAGGAAAAAAAGACTTAATGCATTGGCTATCTAATACCAAGGCAGAAAGAGTAAAGAAATAAACTAAATTCACTATCACTTGCTGTCTTTCCAGAAGGGCAAACATGAAGGTCCAATGTAAAACAATTGAACATCTTCACTTGCCTTTCAAAGTGCAAACATTATACAGCATTTCCCTGCTTCTAAAACACAAGGCTTGTTAGCAAAGTTCACATTCTTTGTGTAAATTATCTAGCTCACATATAAAACTGAAAAAATACCAAGAACCTTTCCTTGTCTGACTCTAATATATGCATTATGAATATACAAATTAGTTACCTTTTACTTCAAACTCTTCCTCCAACACCCCTCCCCCTCCCTTCCCTCTGCTCTAGATACTAAATATTCTTCCCTACAAATTTAAATTAATGTACAGGTATAACATAAATAATTTCCACAGTATTGGTATTATAATAGTTATTCTTAACTAGTGAACAGCGACTCAACTGTGATAAAGATATTCGTTTATGAAAACCCTGGTGGACAAAAAGTTTCCACAATAAAGCTACCTGATGTTGCATAAGTGCCTTTTTCATAAAGTGTATATGCTGTGCATATATTTGTAATTCAGAAGAGGATACCTATCATTCTCTTGTTCACATTCATTCAGTCAATACGTATGTTATTATGGATGCGTGCAGATTTGGGACTAGGCCCTCAAGTACCTTCCATATGTATATTATCATGCATCTTTTTCTCTGTTTCAGCGAGTAAATATTTAACTTTTGAGACAATCCCAGTAATTTAAATGCTTTATTGGCTCTGTTATCTATTCCAGCTCCTGATATTTACCCTGCACTAAATGGAGCCATCAACACTTAACAAATCTCTAAACAAGACAGCACAAGTGATATGAATAGTGTCATCAATGGCACAATGGTGGTGATACTATTCAATCCCTTGTTTTGAAAGTTCTCATTATCCACCCTGTCATTTTCCTGACTTTCGTGACATTTACCTTAGTATGTTCTTTGAAAGGTCAGCTGACAATTTTACTCCCAGTCTTTCATATGTTCCTTTTATTCTATTTGGTGGTCCTCTTGGTTTTTGTATACAATATCCCTTTTGAGAGCAGCTGAAACTTAACACCATTGTCATGTTTTTCACTGCCCAATAGAAACCCTGCTTATGTCTTGCAATTTTTTGTATCTTCTACCAAGGTGACTTTCATGCTTATTGTGGTATCATCAACAAATGATGAAACAATACTGTGGCAAGTGCTTTTATCCATGTCTGATATGATGATTAGAAACAATAGAGGCACTAGGACCATGCCTTGGGGTACTGAGTTTTTTATTTTTTTGATCACTAATTTTGGATTTTGCTCTGTTTATTATGACCCTTTGTGATCTGTCAGAAAGTTGAAAATCCATCTACCTATAATCCTCATTTGTGTGCAATCGCCTCAGGATTGCATTTGTTAAACATTTTTGCAAAATCCGTGTATATCACATCTGCACTTTGGATTTCATCCAGAGTCTATATTTTTTTAATATTGGTTTAGCAGCTGTGACAAGAATGATCTCTCAGCTCTAAAACCATGCTGGTTTGGGTTGTGCAGATCATGCTGTTCCATAAAATTTGTAATTTTGGCATCTCATCACTTATTTGAAGACTTGGGATACTTGGGGCACTGGTCTGTAATTTTTCACTACCATTCTACTGCCTCCCACAAATTATATTATTTTATTATTATCACACCGGCCGATTCCCACCAAGGCAGGGTGGCCCGAAAAAGAAAAACTTTCACCATCATTCACTCCATCACTGTCTTGCCAGAAGGGTGCTTTACACTACAGTTTTTAAACTGCAACATTAACACCCCTCCTTCAGAGTGCAGGCACTGTACTTCCCATCTCCAGGACTCAAGTCCGGCCTGCCGGTTTCCCTGAATCCCTTCATAAATGTTACTTTGCTCACACTCCAACAGCACGTCAAGTATTAAAAACCATTTGTCTCCATTCACTCCTATCAAACACGCTCACGCATGCCTGCTGGAAGTCCAAGCCCCTCGCACACAAAACCTCCTTTACCCCCTCCCTCCAACCCTTCCTAGGCCGACCCTACCCCGCCTTCCTTCCACTACAGACTGATACACTCTTGAAGTCATTCTGTTTCGCTCCATTCTCTCTACATGTCCGAACCACCTCAACAACCCTTCCTCAGCCCTCTGGACAACAGTTTTGGTAATCCCGCACCTCCTCCTAACTTCCAAACTACGAATTCTCTGCATTATATTCACACCACACATTGCCCTCAGACATGACATCTCCACTGCCTCCAGCCTTCTCCTCGCTGCAACATTCATCACCCACGCTTCACACCCATATAAGAGCGTTGGTAAAACTATACTCTCATACATTCCCCTCTTTGCCTCCAAGGACAAAGTTCTTTGTCTCCACAGACTCCTAAGTGCACCACTCACTCTTTTTCCCTCATCAATTCTATGATTCACCTCATCTTTCATAGACCCATCCGCTGACACGTCCACTCCCAAATATCTGAATACGTTCACCTCCTCCATACTCTCTCCCTCCAATCTGATATTCAATCTTTCATCACCTAATCTTTTTGTTATCCTCATAACCTTACTCTTTCCTGTATTCACCTTTAATTTTCTTCTTTTGCACACCCTACCAAATTCATCCACCAATCTCTGCAACTTCTCTTCAGAATCTCCCAAGAGCACAGTGTCATCAGCAAAGAGCAGCTGTGACAACTCCCACTTTGTGTGTGATTCTTTATCTTTTAACTCCACGCCTCTTGCCAAGACCCTCGCATTTACTTCTCTTACAACCCCATCTATAAATATATTAAACAACCACGGTGACATCACACATCCTTGTCTAAGGCCTACTTTTACTGGGAAAAAATTTCCCTCTTTCCTACATACTCTAACTTGAGCCTCACTATCCTCGTAAAAACTCTTCACTGCTTTCAGTAACCTACCTCCTACACCATACACTTGCAACATCTGCCACATTGCCCCCCTATCCACCCTGTCATACGCCTTTTCCAAATCCATAAATGCCACAAAGACCTCTTTAGCCTTATCTAAATACTGTTCACTTATATGTTTCACTGTAAACACCTGGTCCACACACCCCCTACCTTTCCTAAAGCCTCCTTGTTCATCTGCTATCCTATTCTCCGTCTTACTCTTAATTCTTTCAATTATAACTCTACCATACACTTTACCAGGTACACTCAACAGACTTATCCCCCTATAATTTTTGCACTCTCTTTTATCCCCTTTGCCTTTATACAAAGGAACTATGCATGCTCTCTGCCAATCCCTAGGTACCTTACCCTCTTCCATACATTTATAAATAATTGCACCAACCACTCCAAAACTATATCCCCACCTGCTTTTAACATTTCTATCTTTATCCCATCAATCCTGGCTGCCTTACCCCCTTTCATTTTACCTACTGCTCACGAACTTCCCCCACACTCACAACTGGCTCTTCCTCACTCCTACAAGATGTTATTCCTCCTTGCCCTATACACGAAATCACAGCTTCCCTATCTTCATCAACATTTAACAATTCCTCAAAATATTCCTTCCATCTTCCCAATACCTCTAACTCTCCATTTAATAACTCTCCTCTCCTATTTTTAACTGACAAATCCATTTGTTCTCTAGGCTTTCTTAACTTGTTAATCTCACTCCAAAACTTTTTCTTATTTTCAACAAAATTTGTTGATAACATCTCACCCACTCTCTCATTTGCTCTCTTTTTACATTGCTTCACCACTCTCTTAACTTCTCTCTTTTTCTCCATATACTCTTCCCTCCTTGCATCACTTCTACTTTGTAAAAACTTCTCATATGCTAACTTTTTCTCCCTTACTACTCTCTTTACATCATCATTCCACCAATCAGCTCCTCTTCCCTCCTGCACCCACTTTCCTGTAACCACAAACTTCTGCTGAACACTCTAACACTACATTTTTAAACCTACCCCATACCTCTTCGACCCCATTGCCTATGCTCTCATTAGCCCATCTATCCTCCAATAGCTGTTTATATCTTACCCTAACTGCCTCCTCTTTTAGTTTATAAACCTTCACCTCTCTCTTCCCTGATGCTTCTATTCTCCTTGTATCCTATCTACCTTTTACTCTCAGTGTAGCTACAACTAGAAAGTGATCTGATATATCTGTGGCCCCTCTATAAACATGTACATCCTGAAGTCTACTCAACAGTCTTTTATCTACCAATACATAATCCAACAAACTACTGTCATTTCGCCCTACATCATATCGTGTATACTTATTTATCCTCTTTTTCTTAAAATATGTATTACCTATAACTAAACCCCTCTTTCTATACAAAGTTCAATCAAAGGGCTCCATTATCATTTACACCTGGCACCCCAAACTTACCTACCACACCCTCTCTAAAAGTTTCTCCTACTTTAGCATTCAAGTCCCCTACCACAATTACTCTCTCACTTGGTTCAAAGGCTCCTATACATTCACTTAACATCTCCCAAAATCTCTCTCTCTCTCCTCTGCATTCCTCTCTTCTCCAGGTGCATACACGCTTATTATGACCCACTTCTCGCATCCAACCTTTACTTTAATCCACATAATTCTTGAATTTACACATTCATATTCTCTTTTCTCTTCCATAACTGATCATTTAACATTACTGCTACCCTCTCCTTTGCTCTAACTCTCTCAGATACTCCAGATTTATCCCATTTATTTCCCCCCACTGAAACTCTCCTACCCCCATCAGCTTTGTTTCGCTTAGGGCCAGGACATCCAACTTCTTTTCATTCATAACATCAGCAATCATCTGTTTCTTGTCATCCGCACTACATCCACGCACATTTAAGCAACCCAGTTTTATAAAGTTTTTCTTCTTCTCTTTTTTAGTAATTGTATACAGGAGAAGGGGTTACTAGCCCATTGCTCCCGGCATTTTAGTCGCCTCATACGACACGCATGGCTTACGGAGGAAAGATTCTTTTCCACTTCCCCATGGACAATAGAAGAAATAAAAAAGAACAAGAGCTATTTAGAAAAAGGAGAAAAACCTAGATGTATGTATATATATATATGCATGTGCGTGTCTGTGAAGTGTGACCAAAGTGTAAGTTGGAGTAGCAAGATATCCCTGTTATCTAGCGTGTTTATGAGACAGAAAAAGAAACCAGCAATCCTACCATCATGCAAAACAGTTACAGGTTTTTGTTTCACAGTCATCTGGCAGGACGGTAGTACTTCCCTGGGTGGTTGCTGTCTACCAACCTACTACCTAATGTAATAATAATGTAATGTAATAATAATAAAAATAATAATAATTCAAGTCTTTTATGTATTATTTACTTATTTTTAATTTTACTGAGGGAGATGGGTTAAACTCCAGAGCTTCATCCAGTCTTTTAGTTTCTGTCTAACTTAGTGTGTTAAGAAATCTCGGCACTTAATGAAAAATACTTTAACAAATACAGTAGGGTCCTGCTTTATGGTGTTTCGCCTTAAAGCGTTCCGCTACTACGGCAATTTCAAATTATGACCAAAACTCTCTATACAGCTCCCTGTCTTTCTAATACAGCGCCTGCCACTGCGTCTCTTCATTATGTTTGGAAACTTTCCAAAATTTCAGGTGTTTTAAAGTTATTTCATATTTTATATACAGTGGTACCTTGACTTACGAGTTTAATTAGTTCCGTGACCGAGCTTGTAACTCAATTTGCTCATATATCAAAACAATTTTCCTCACTGAAATTAATTGAAATGCCATTAATCCATTCCAGCCCCCAAAACACCACCCAGGGGCAGGAGAAAATACTTCAATATAACGCTAATGTCAATTCTATGGCTTATTTATCTATCAGAATTGATCTAATATGACATAATAAACACTATAAGTAACACAGAAACAGGATATATAGTTTAGAATGAATAAAATAGGCCATAATATGGCGAGTGTCCAGGGCCAGTACGAGCATAAAAAATCATTACTGTTCCTTCCTATAACGTGTTCTTTGGTCCTGGGTAAGAGAAAACGGAGTTTTTGAGAGGCTAACTGCACTAGATCACTAGTGCAGTAATATATGAATATCTCGGAAGTAAATTATTGCCTTATTTCATGAAGCTCACCATTTATTTTTGAAGTAAATCCAATAATATTGACAGGAATCATAAAAAATTATTGTTCTACAAATGACTTGTGGAATATTGGAAATATTCCAAATATTTTGGGATTTGTGTGTAAGTAAAGGGCAAAATATTTTGCAAATGTCAAAAACGTAGCAACTTTATTTTATTGTAGAATAACTAAAGATAATTACACGATTACCTCCAGTGAGAACATCGCACTAGCATTGTTTTATAAGTATCAAGTCCCAAAACCACTTTTTGTTGTGTCATTTAGGACGGGGTTCTTGCCAAAAGTCATTTTCAGTAAATATTTTTTTTTCACCCCTAGCTCGGATTTTGGCTCGCAACTCAAAGTATAAAATCGACCGAGCAACGGCTCGTAGCTCGGAAAACTCGTAAGTTGGGGCACTCGTAAGTCAAGGTACCACTGTATACTATGATAATTATACTTATGTGCATCTGTACCTAAGTAAACTTACACACTGTGCTGGCATGCAGTTACACATTAAAATCACAGAGTGTCTTATTAGTCTTGAAGATGTCATATTAATAGTGATAATAATTTTTTTTTTTTCAACAAGTCGGCCGTCTCCCACCGAGGCAGGGTGACCCAAAAAAGAAAGAAAATCCCCAAAAAGAAAATACTTTCACCATCATTCAACACTTAATAATAATAATCACTCTGAGGTGCATTAAATGTCATATAAAACGTTAATATAGACATTCTGCTTAATCCGTCTATGATATTTTTTCAAAATTATATAATAAATACACTATGTAACATATAAATGCGATAAATATACCCACAGTAGAATAAATTAACATAAATATGAGATTTTTTCTAGTTGGCTTGCCGGAGTGAACTAAAACCACACGCATTAGGCTGGTTTGTTTACATAACTTGCGTCTGTCCTTTCTCATATAGTCATTCTCCCTCTCTCTCTCGTTTATTCGTTTAATCTCATTTACTCACCTCTCACCCTACATTAAGACTACAAATATTTTAAGGTAAGCAATGAGTGTACTGTACAGTGCCCATCATGGCATTATGCTGGGTGAGCGCCCTAGCATAATGCCGTGACAAAAATCAAAGGCCAATCATATAGGGAGGGTCTTTTTCATCAGTGCATTCTTCTGGGTAGCAGCCATAAGCATGATATCTCGGCCTGCCACCACACTTCACAGTGACTTCTCATTGTTCACATGGCTGCCATGGTGAGAGGAAGTGTTGCACTGTTGTCTCTCATCTGCCCCAGCTTTTGTCCAGTGTTCCCTTTAGTTTTGGGGCTATACATGTTTGATTATGTGTAAAAGGAAGTCTTTAACACCTGAAAATATAGCTCAAATCATAGGGCTTCACTAAGTTGGGCACCAGACAAAAGAAATTAGTGGAGAATGTTAGTGTGTGTGAGCGTTCATTGAGGAACTGGGTGCAGTGTTTTAAGGCTGGCGGTGGTGTCGAGTTGCCGTCTGCCAAACCTCGGCCTGGCCCCTCAAAGAAGACATCTGTTCATACCTTAACTGTGTTAAAGAAGCAGTTATTCTCTAACTGCCCATTAACTCTCTAACTGCTTCTTTAACACAGTTAAGATACAAACAGATGTCTTCTTCAAGGGACTAGGCAGAGGTTTGGCAGATGGTAACTTGGCACCTCCACGAGCCTTGAAACACTGCACCCAGTTCCTCATTGAATGCTCACACGCACTAACATTCTCCACTATTCCTTTTGTTTGGTGCCCAGCTTTGTGAAGCCCTATGATTTAAGCTATAGTTTCAGGTGTTAATGACTTCCTTTTACCCATAATCAAACATGTATAGCAACAAAACCAAAGGGAACACCGGACAAAAGATGGGGTGGATGAGAGACAACAGTGCAACACTTACTCTCATCACGGCAGCCACGTGAACAATGAGAAGTCACTGTGAACTGTGGTGGCTGGCTGAGACATCATGCTTACAGCTGCTACCCAACAGAATGTACTGATGAAAAAAAAAAAAACCTATATGGTAGGCTTTTGATTTTCGTCACAGCATTATGCCAGGGCACTCACCTGACATAATGCCGTGACAAGCACTGTAGTATATGCAATTTATCGTTCTAGGGCGCTCCAAATGCCTAGTATATAATGTGTGGGTGGGGTGGCCAGATGGGGTTACAATACCTACCACACTATTCGATACATACCTACCCTACTATGCACCTTGCACCCTATATTAAGACCACAAATATTTTAAGGTAAGTAATGAGTATTCTTCCTCCATAAGCCATGCATGTTGTAAGCGGCGACTAAAATACCAGGAGCAAGGGGCTAGTAACCCCTTCTCCTGTACAAATTACTAAATTTAAAAAGAAAAAAATTTCGTTTTTCTTTTTGGGTCACCCTGCCTTGGTGGGATATGGCCGGTTTGTTGAAAAAAAAAGTAATGAGTGTACACTATATGCATTGTATCGCTCTAGGGCTCTTTAAATGTTGAAGTATATTACATGTGGGTGGGGTGGGGTGGAGTGGACTTTCTGGTTACCATACCTACCACACCGAACTTCTTACAATAAACACTATTCACTTCTCGCCCCTACATTGAGATTACAAGTATTCTGAGGTAAGTAATGAGTGTACTGTGTGTGTATTTCTTTTTATTGATTTTTAATGTCCTGATCTATTACTAACTTATCTGACATTTATAAGTGGAAACAAATGACGTTCTGCTTTCCGGCAGTAGCCTGGAACCTAACCTGCCGTATAAGTGGGGCCCTACTGTACTGCATTGTGCTGAAACCTATATTAGGTAACTCACCTTTCACTTTTTCTAGGAATTCATTCAATACAACCAGGGACTCTCGTCGCAGACTATAAAACTTGGCAACACCTAAAAAAACAAAAAGTTGGAGTTAATGACAATATTAAAATTTATACCACTACAATTTACAAATCAGTAATTTTATGATTTTATAATGACAGCAGGCCTTCATCAAATTACTAAAACTTATGCTAAGTGCTCATCACATGATAGAAACTAGCGTCAGTTCAAAATTTATTTCTCCTAATAAACAAAAATCCTCCAACAAAATTGAATTAGCCCCTCAAGCGAAGTTCCTTGATACTGGTGAAGGGCTCTTCATCCATAGAATTAGGATTAAAACTTGATTGCCTTCCATTTTCCAGGTGCTGTATGACCTCTACTGATTTAGTGCTTCTCCCTATAATAATGATAATAATAATAACAACATTTAAGAGATGATAAAATGCACACAACAGCTTTCAAGGATAAATAAGGTACTGATTGAAGGAAAAAATTACCTAAACAATAATTGAATATCTTGCAGGAGTGATGCAAGAGAGGATCAAAGAGAGGTGTTCCCAAAGAGGAAGGAAGCTCTTGCAACAGAAAGTGTCGACTCCAGAAATGCTTCAATGCTCCCACGATACTCAGCTGTGTCTTGCGAGGAACACGTGACACACTGTTATTTAACATTTCCACTACTTGCTCACTGTATTTTTCTGAAATTAAAACCCCAAGTACATATGAAAATACTTGCAGTGCTTATTACAAATCAGTATAAAATGTTTTTTTTTTCCCCTTCTGAGAATGCTCTTTGCAGCATTATAACCAACATTTATAATTTTGACAAATTTGCCAATCAATATTGTAAGGCATATTCTATGGAAAAAAAGGGAAGAAAAAATGGATCAGAAAATATAATATACTGAAGCAGAGGAGGAATTCCTCTGCTTCAATGTGATTTTTTTTCAGCCTTATCCAGCCCCCCTTCACCGTTGTCATCCTTATCAGAAAAGTCCACATATTCCCTATTTTTTTTTTTTTTACTTTATTTATCTATCTTTAAATCTATTAAGAATAATTTAACATCCTACAGTGAATTAACAACCTACAATCAGTTTTAACTTTATTTTTGTACTCACACGACCATGTCAATTTATAGCACTATATTTTACAGCTGCAATAATTGCTAAGATTCAATCTTTATCTTGGGATCCAAATGAAACTTTACTAAATTTGTTAAAAATCTTAAATCCTTTGCATCTAGCTCTTTTAATGTGCCAACATACAAAATATTTGAAAATCTTCTTTCAACAAACTGGCTGTATCCCACTGAGGTAGGGTGACCAAAAAGCAAAAACTAAAGTATATTTGAAAATATGACATGAATATTAGACCTAAACTACCTTGGGTAACCTTGGATAAGGGCCAGGCACGCCCTAAGGAGTTTACCATCTCATCTATAAGGTCCCAGCGCAATGATTCTTCTTTTTTGTTGCGCTCTTCATCATCAGTGGACTCCTGTTCTTGTTTATCCTAAAGATAAAGAGGCATTAATTCTTAGATACTTACTGTTTCTTATTTTTGTTATACAGTAGACCATTACATTACACGTTTTGGTTACTGAAAAATTGCAGCACAATTTTATACAACACTTCATAAAACTAACTTAACACAGTTCAGTTTGCAGGAGGGGAAAAATTTGGAGTGTTGCCCACGGAACACTTGTGATAAGGAAGGAAGGAAGGAAGGCCTGAAAAAAAGTGTATGTTTAGAACAGGCTGGTTCCACAACTTTAAGTTGCATAATAAGTTACTAATATTAAGTTTTCTGGTAAAAGTGCTTCAGCTGATCATAGAGCAGCAAGTAATTTCCCTGCTGAATTGCAGGAAATTATTTCTGAGGGTAGCTATGAGCCACATCAAGTGTTTAACCCATTCACTGTTGGTGGCGTATAGATACATCTTACAAGCTAGTGTTGGCGACGCATTAATACGCCAAAATTCTAGCAGTGTCAAATCTAGTGGGAGAAAGCTGGTAGGCCTACATGTGAGAGAATGGGTCTGCACGATCAGTGTGTGCAATATGAAAAAATCAGGGCACCCACACTGCATTGTGGGAACGCTATTTCAGTAGTCCTTGTTCACCATGCCTCGCAGTAAGAAATATCTCACTCCTCGGCGAATTGGGACTCTTCTGTTCCTAAGTGATAGTTCTAACACAGATGGAAGTGTCAGTGAAGATGAATTTCATAGTTTTGAGGAGTTTGTGACCAAAAGCAATGCCTGAGATAATAGAAATAGTGCTGAAAACCCAGACGACCATCAACCTTTCACCTCTGGTGCTGGGCCGTCTAGTTCACATTCAGCTGTACCACGGCGAAAAAGGAAACTTTTATTTCCCCGTGTCCAGGACTCAGATGTGAGCAGTGATAGTGAGTGTGATTTCCAAGCTCTTATTACAATTCCAGTATTATTATTATTATTATAATCAAAAAGAAGCACTAAGCCACAAGGGCTATACAGCGCTGCAGGGTAGGGAAGGAAGCGAGGGTATTGGATGGCAGAAGGGAGGAGGGATGTTAGGTAAGACACATATGCAACAGTTAGACAACTTTATTCCGAAACGTTTCGCCTACACAGTAGGCTTCTTCAGTCGAATACAGAAAGTAGGCAGGAACAGTAGAGATGTGAAGACGATGTAATCAGTCCATCACCCTTGAAGTCGTAGAATTTGAGGTTGTCAGTCCCTCGGCCTGGAGAAGTTCAGTTCCATAGTCAGGAACTATCTGAAGATCAAGCGACAGTGCGGAGACTTAAATACTGTCGGAAGGAGAGGTGCAGAGTAGTAGTAGTAGTAGTAGTAGTAGTAGTAGTAGTAGTAGTAGTAGTAGTAGTAGTAGTAGTAGTAGTAGTAGTAGTAGTAGTAGTGAGAATGTAACCACTGAGAGGTCATGTCCCTCTCAGATCCAACACTTCTCACTTGAAAAGCTTGTCCATTCTCACTACTACTACTACTACTCTCTGCACCTCTCCTTCCGACAGTATTTAAGTCTCCTCACTGTCGCTTGATCTTCAGATAGTTCCTGACTATGGAACTGAACTTCTCCCGGCCGAGGGACTGACAACCTCAAATTCTACGACTTCAAGGGTGATGGACTGATTACATCGTCTTCACATCTCTACTGTTCCTGCCTACTTTCTGTATTCGACTTAAGAAGCCTACTGTGTAGGCGAAACGTTTCGGAATAAAGTTGTCTAACTGTTGCATATGTGCCTTACCTAACAACCTGTCGGTATTGTATACCATTTTGATGTTCATCAGGGAGGAGGGATGATCAGTAGGTTACAGAAAACAGCAGGGCAGGGGATAGTACGGGGGTAGAGGGTAGCAAGAGATTGAAGTAGAAAGGGCTGAAGTTATCAGAATTTGTGAAGTCAGTCAGTTGTTGTCAAAAAGTCAATGAGAGAGTCCGAATGAAAGGTGGGTCCATCAGCGAGAAGGGAAGGTAAAGAGAGAGCAGCGGAGCGAAGACGACGACAGAGGTAAATTCTGCGTGCTCGTTGATAAAGTGGGCAGTCCAACAGAATGTGGCTGACTGATAATGGAGCTTGGCAATTCTCACAGAGAGGAGCAAGACGCCTCTCCATGAGATATCCATGAGTAAGACGAGTATGGCCAATGCGAAGACGGGAGAGAGTAGTCTCCCAACCTCGACACTGGTGATAAGAAGACAGCCAGTAACCTATAACTCGGTTTAATAGATTGAAGTTTGTTGCCGAGCATAGTAGACCAACGTTGTTGCCAACGGGTGTGAAGGTGGGAAGATATTGCAGCAAAATAGTCCGTAAATGGAATACCTCTATAAGAAACTGGTAGGTCATGTACTGCTGACCACGCAGCAGTGTCTGCCTGTTCATTGCCCTGTACGTCAACATGACCAGGGACCCAACAAAAAACAATATCTTTATGCTTGGTAAAGATGCGGCGTAGCCAAAGTTGGATACGGAGGACAAAGGGGGTGAGGTGTATCAAATTTTTGTATAGCCTGTAAAGCACTAAGGGAGTCTGAGACAACCACAAATGATGACACAGGCATAGATGCAATACGGATAAGTGCTGTAAGGATGGCATATAATTCAGCAGTAAAAATACTAGCCGAAGATAGTAAATGCCCTTGTACGACGCTGTCCGGAAACACTGCTGCGAATCCTACGCCGTCAGAAGACTTAGAGCCATCTGTGTACACAGCAATGGCATGAGAATGAGAGTGAAAGTGGTCAAGAAAAAGAGAGCGGGAAGCGACCGTAGACAGTTGGGCTTTCGAGCAAGGGAGGGAGAAAGAAAAAGACTCGAACGGCTGGAACTTCCCAGGGGGTAGGGAAAAGTGAGATGCTACATGTACATAGAAAGGTGGTAGTTGAAGAGAAGACAAGAGCGAATGAAGGCGAAGAGAGAAGGGACGGAGTAAACAGGGGCGGCGAACAAATAAAGAATGTCTACTAACATCAGTGACCATTCTATAAATGGAAGGATTGCGGAGATCATGAGAGCGTACATAGTAGCGCAGGCAATGGGCATCACGGCGATCGGATAAGGATGGAACGTTCTCTTCTGCATAGAGGCTCTCAACAGGGGAAGAGCGAAAAGCACCAAGGCATAAACGTAATCCTTGGTGATGAATGGGGTTAAGGCTAGAGAGAGTAGCAGGAGATGCCGCTGAATAGATCTGGTCACCATAATCAAGTTTCGATAAAATAAGGGTGAAATGTAGGCGAAGGAGGGTTCGACGATCAGCTCCCCATGAAAGATGAGCAAGGGTTTTAAGAAGGTTCAGCCGGCTGTGACAAGTTGCCTTCAGAGAGGTAATGTGAGGTTTCCAGGATAACCTATGATCAAAGAGGAGGCCCAGAAACTTGACTGTATCACGTTCAGGGATACGGGAGCCATAGAGGTACAAAGGATGATCGGAGATGACAGAGCGTCTAGTGAAAGTAATTTGGTGGGTTTTAGTGCTGGAAAATTTAAACCCACGTGTGGTGGCCCAATTGGAAACACGGTCGACTGCATGTTGGAGAGAAACTGTAATGAGGTGACAGTCAGCGCCTGCACAGGCAATAGCGAAGTCATCAACATAGAGTGATGACCAAATATTTGATGGAAGACTAGAGGCCAAATCATTAATAGCAAGGAGAAAAAAATGTTGTGCTCAGAACACATCCCTGGGGGACACCTTCAGCTTGGATAAAGTCCGGGGAGAGCACATTATTAACCCAAACACGGAAATGCCTGCCAGTTAAAAAGTTCTTAGGGAAGGATGGTAGATTGCCTCGAAGGCCTAAGGAGTGGGCTTGGGCAAAATATTATACCTCCAAGTTGTGTCATATGCCTTCTCAAGGTCAAAAAATATGGCAATAACTGAGTGGTTATTCGCAAAGGCATTACGAACATACGTATCCAAGCGTAGTAAGGGGTCTATGGTAGAACGTCCCTTACGAAAGCCATATTGACGAGTGGAGAGACTGTTGTGTGTCTCTAAATACCACACTAAACGTCTATTTACTAGGCGTTCCATTACTTTGCAAACTGCACTGGTAAGAGCAATGGGACGATAGTGGGAGGTTTCATGTCCTGTAGTGCCTGGTTTGCGGAAAGGGAGAACAATGGCGGATTTCCACAGCTGTGGAAGAACTCCTTGTGACCAAATAAGATTGTAAAGGCGTAATAGGACTGCAAGGCTGACTGATGTAAATGTTGTAGCATACGAATATGAATGTCGTCGGGCCCAGCTGCTGATGATCGACAAGCTGAGAGTGTTGCCTCCAGTTCTTGAAGTGTAAAAGGCACATTATACTGTTCTTCTCTGAGAGAAGAAAAGTCCAAGGGTGCTAACTCTCTGGCAGACTTTGAGGAAAGAAATGAGGGGCATAGATGGAGTCCCTGAGAAATACGGACCAGATGATTGCCAATTTCGTTGGCAACATCTAGTGGGTTTGCTATATCAACACCGGCAACCCGCAGAACAGGAGCCGGGTCAGGAGAATATTTACCACTCAGTTTTCGTACTTTTTTCCAGACTGCACTCATAGAGGAAGCAGAGGTGATGGTGGAGACATAATCTCGCCAGCAAGTGCGTTTAGCGTCACGGATGACACGGCGAGCGATTGCACGCTTCTGTTTAAAATCAAGGAGTCTCTCTGTGGTTCTATTGTACCGGTACCTGCCCCATGCAGCGCGTTTCAAACGTACTGCACGAGCACAAGCAGGAGACCACCAAGGCACGCATTTCTGAGAATGCCTGCCCGAAGTTTGGGGTATAGAATGAGAAGCTGCGGTGAAAATGGAGGACGAGAAGAGGTGTAAAAGCTCATCGATGGAGGACGAAGAAGGAACCTCTTTAAAAACAGTTAGGTGTGAGTAAAGGTTCCAATTTGCCCGATTAAATTGCCAGCATGGGGTGCGAAGAGGTGGCGAATATGAAGGGGAAGTAAGAATGATTGGGAAATGATCACTGTCATGTAAGTCCGGGAGAACAG